TTCCTCTTCATTAGGCGGAAAGCAAGATTCACATATCATCTTTCGCAGTGGTTCCGGTACATCGGACGGCTTCCCGTACAAATTCATCTCTCGATCAAAAACCTACAAAACGGAGCAATAGTCCGCAGACGTTTACGTGTTGTGAGCACAACAATTTAAAGGTTGAGTTAGCGAGGATTCGATTGAAAAGTGCTCGTCAATCCGCATTAGCAGCTCTACGGATGTTAAAATTACTGCTACGAGAAGAAAACTGTTTAAAGCTCTCACTTAAAAGAAAGATAAAACCACAGCAATACCTTCCAAGTTGAGACACCACGGAGTCCAATGAGTTTCGGCAAAAGCGGATGTGCATCGCAAAGGCGTAGAGTTCCTTCAGCTTCTCGTAACAATTGAGCGACCTACCGCTTCATCCTCTATGGGATTCATAGAGCACGTAGAATAGACCAATCGACCACCGACTTTCAACATGGCAGCTCCACTGAATAAAAAAAATTCAAGCATTCATTTTCGATTGGATAAGTTTTCACAAAATGAAGAGTTAGAAATCAAAAGCAAGAATGACATAGCTGGGGATGGACTGACCGTCTCGCAATTGAAAGCTGCATACGATGTAGCCCTAATCCGTCTTGTGGAGTCCATTTTCCCCAAATCTCTGGGTTTTTTCTTAAAGTTCCGTCTCCACTACAGATTACATCACAGAGTATGCGGTCGAATTTTAACGGCACGTCATCCTGCAATGCTCAATTGTTCTTAGCCATTACATTGAAACTCTGTGCGGATGACTCTGAAGGTTTTTTTTAAATATAGGCATGTACAAAATCACAATCAAATTAATCATTAAAAAATATTAGAAACTCAGAGCAAATCAAAAACAGTTTTGAGACATTGATAGTTGAACAACGGTCATGGGTAAAATGGTGCAGATAAACAATGATGGCACATAAAATATGTCTACGAAGAATCAAACCAATATTGATTGCAGGGAACCACTAGGAGCTCGCAACACCAACAGCTGCAAAAAACGTTGCGTGATTCAACACGTGCACACGATAAATTATCTATCGGCATGCCCTTTCGTCCCTCTCCAACTGGTTTTCTTTCAATCATAACTTAATTGATAAAATACTAAAATATCGGCAACGTTAACATATCAATTTTTTCAAGATTCACATGTGTTTTATGCTTTGTGCTCTGTTGCCTAATCAGGAACAGCTCGAGAAATTGAGGGCTCAGCACCCACTACTATGTTTCAGTGCTAAATTCCTTTAAAAAACAGAAGTGGAATATTATACCATTGAAATAATGACTAGAAAAAGAGCAGAACTCCAGATCTTCAGGTTTTTCTAACATGTGAACAGTTGCTACTTTATCCCGGACGGGCGAAAGAAATAATGACGTTGAAGGCAGTACCGTCCGAATCAAAGGCAGCACCTCCAGGCTCTCCACCACCTTTTGAAAAGCAATGTACGTTCATATAGTAGAACTGTGCTCATATAGATCAAAGCACCGATCTGTTCAATGATCGTTTCTTCTTTTCGAGACGTCTCGAGCCACCGAACAATAAGATGAACGGCTTGCACTCGACCTCTCGGTTATACTCTCCGTCCAATAAACATTGGAAAGTTTTCATCCTGTCCAAAATAGTTCAGTCTCTAATCCGATGAAAGGCTAAACTCCTCCGCCCTACCAACCCTGGCGGTGGCCCATTTGCCTACACCAAATTCAGAATTCTGCATTATCACCGCGACAACATTTTTACTACTCACTGCTATAAGTTGTTTCAGACAACTTGTTCATTTCGATTTTTGTTTTGCACCTCACCACTGATTCGCACCCACCACTGATTCGTGACCAAAAAAAAAATAGGAGCAGTAGCATGAAAAATTATCTTCTCATTGGAAATAAAACAAGGCTGAAAGAGTTAATTTGAAGGGGAGCAAAAGAGGCGCCGCTATCATACCCACAGTCTGTGGATCAATTCCTCTAAGACATTTCAACTTACATGAGGGTGCTTATTACCTCCGACCTAATGAGGACGATGAAAAGACCACGGCCCGATCCGAAATTCCCAGACCGAAAATAATAAATAAAGTATCTCATTATAGAGTGATGAAGGTTGGCTGACTGACCAAAGTTCGCCCACTTTGGTCGCCCTGTTTTGAACATTGAGTAGAAAACTCTTGCAAAAACATTAATAGTAAAAAAATAAAGAATTCAGGTAGTTGAAAAGAAGTGGAACTGACTTTTCCCTTCAGAACAGGCATTCGAGCAGCATCTTCACAAATAACGACGCAATTGGATGTATGGAATCTCTTCAATGTCTGATGAATCAACATATAACATCGTTTTTTATCGACGTCGTTGGCTATGAGCATCCCATCTAAAACACTGTATATTATCGATTAGTAGTACTCTCACACAAAAGATCATCCAAAACAAAAAGGCCAAGCCGCACATAGCCCTAGGAAACTCCCGTTACAAA